CGATTTTTCAATAATGACTGGAAGACTAGTTTCGACCATCTGGACTTAAAGTCGGTATGTGGGTGCGCAACTGATGGGATGAAGACCCATCAAGATCCCATGGTTCCGTCGCTCCCGGGCCATCGTCCACCTTGTGTCCTACTTAGTCTAGAGAGGCAATGTTTAAAATTGCGTGTTCGGGTATTGAGGCGTTCATTCGTGAGGCGAGGCAGTAAGCCTCAAGGCATTTTGAGGCGTAAGTCCTTTCAAAATTCAAAAGATGTAAGCCGTAAAAGATAAATGAGTGAATTTTTATATACTAACGATGCTATAGTCGTGACTCTTATAAAACATGAAAAAAGGCAATAAGGATTTAGATGAAGTGAATAGTCAAAAAATGCTCAATAATAGAGCATCAACATGAAATTATAGTTACAACTCATAATTCTATCTTTCCCAAATCCCATTATTTCTTCGAGTGTAACACATAATTCAATTTAAAAAAATAATGAAAGACATAGTTCACATAAAAAACTACATAATGTCATCGCATGTCATTCATTAAGAGGTCTCATTTTGGAATATCATTATGTGTGGAACTGCTCCTCTCCCCTTCCTTCCTCTCATTATAGAGTTCATGTCAGGCATTTACTATTAAGGTTTATGTAGTTTTTAATATAAGCGTTGAGCGAAGCCTTCATGCCATGAGGCGAGGGCGGCCCACCAAGTTGAGGCGCAGTCCTATTAAAAAAAGAATTCTGAGGTTCGTACGGTAGCATCGAGACGTGCTTTTTACTGGAACTTGCGCAAAGGCGGGCCCAAGCGAGCCTCATATTGCGTAATTTTTAAACTATGAGAGAGGGTAGTCGATCCCAACCATGTACTGAAGGATCCTTGTCTGGCAGCCATTGGTTGCCTTCGTCCAATGGTATTGTAGTGACCCGTGGGTTGGATATTTTGCTAAGGTGCGACAAAGTTTTGAATCCACCTTAGCTAACGAGGGCTGATGATGCCTATCGATTTATATCCATATGATTCACTATCCAAGGATTTTGATGCCCAAAATAAGGAATCGTAAACCAGGCGCTGCCACATAACGGATTGTCGGCCAGTTGTAGCTATTTCTGGCACGGCAAAACCACCGTCACGAGGGCCGACCTACGGGTCGTCGTGACCATACTCCTGCTTTGCCCATAGTTTGGCGGCAGAGGACGCCGGTCAGAGGACTCGACCACTGTCTGTAGTGCTATCCCGGCAAGGAGATTGTTTTGAAGAATGAATCCTTAGTGATATTTTTCACTAGGCAATTTGTACTCTTTGTGTAGCAAGAAGTAGATTTTGGATTGTCCACCCCTGGCAAACTGTTGCGGAGGGCTGGATTGTTTCTGCTTTTAAGTGTGTTGATTGGTATGAATTTACGTATTTAAACTATTTGATTCTTGTGATTTTGACTTTTATTGGTGATATTTTGGATATTTGGAATTGAAGTTGGAAGGACATTTGAATATTATGTGGTACCCCGTCCGGTTGATATTTTCATTCAAACGGGCCATACATCAGGGTGTGGGGTGAGCATTTCCATTGTTGATTGAACCTGTCTGACCTCTTATCAACATCTACCTTGCATAGGGATAAGATTCGTTGGCTTTTGTGTTCGCTTGTGGTTACGCTGCAATTTCTCTTGATTTTTAGTGTTTGAGACGCTAATATTAGAAGCGGTTTAAACAAATGCAACTCTCCTGTCTCTCACTGAGTTGAGCAGCGGACCAGATATATTTGTCTTGAAGGTGGTCGAACTCCTTGTCGACTCCCAATATTGATCCGATAGAAGGACTCTGGGATTTCGGACCAACCTCGAATTCAACTTATACACCCAGCGCGAGCATCTCTCGTTGACGTCATCGTGTGAACCATATGTACTCAATAATCACGCGTTCGCTAAGCTTTTAGAAGGTTGCTAAAGGCTCGCAGCTGATGGTCTTGGCCCGGCCATATTATTATTACCTTGAGCCAAGTGGTAGTACTCCGATAAGCCTCTCTTATCTCATCCTTAGAGTTGATCTGCGTTTTTAAGTTAATAATCACGCAGCATCCTAGACGTACACGTGGTGTACTTTAATAACAACGCTCGCAAGGGGCCCTGCGGGTTTAAGATTGAACATTGTACCCCTTTTGTGTCTATTACTTTGGTATTGGTACTTATGTGTATCAATACCAAGCGTGCGGTGAAGCGTGCTGAGGGATATTTTGAAAGTATTTTGAAGACGCCTTCGTTTCCGCTTGCACCTAGGTACAGTTCGCTTCATATCAATGTCGCGCGGCAGGTCGAGGTCCCAAGACTCAACATCTGCTGGATTGTGTTTGTAGATGCCTCTGTCGTCTACTGTATATCTAGATCGTGGTGCTCGAGATCCTGGAGCCTGCTGCTAGCGAGTTGCCTGATTAGGTTGTTCGTTTGCTTCGTACAGGAGACTGTCGTGCACACTCAGCCTGCAGGGATCGTAGTCACTAACGGAACCTCCTGCTTTGTAGATGATGCATCTAGCCCAGTGTTTCTGTATGCTCACTGACATCTGTTGTATATGCAACAAACTTCTTATAACAAAACTCGTATGCATTGCAGATTGTCAGTTCACTTTGTATTGCTGAGATAATATATTAGGAGTCAAGATGTTTCTACATCAGCTTGCATGAATCGACCGTTGCGTGTGTGTGTGTGTCTTCTTGCGTTTACTTGTTCGTAGATGGCCATTTGTACTTTT